TGATCTAATGATTGTCTGAAATAATAGCAACAATGTATTCAATTATACATGCTTTTGCATATATTATATACATGCCTATCTATAAGTATATAAAAATGAAATGAATCACGGGAATAACAGAAGTGTAGCAGGACTGTTACTATCAGGTGCTCCCACTATCTGTCAAGTGGTATGGCATTATTTGAAAGCAGATCTCACTTTGCGTCTTCTGAGGACCATTACCATGTGAATCACCTGGGACATATAAGACCCCACTTCTAAACACCTGAACTTGCATTTTAACAATATCTTCAGGTGGTCTGGATGCTTATCAAGATTTGAGAAGTGATGAGCTGTGGTACTAAAGAAGGACCCACTCTTTTTTTTAAAATTTTAATCTTTTAACACCAAAAAATATTTTGTATTGGGGCATAGCCAATTAAGAATGTTGTGGTAGTTTCAAGCGAACAGCGAAGGGACTCCGCCATATGTATACATGTATCCGTTCTCCCCCAACCCCCCCACCCATCCAGGCAGGCATATCATCACATTGGGCAGAGTTCCCTGTGCTATACAATAGGTCTTTGCTGGTTGTCCATTTTAAATATAGCAGTCTGTACATGACCATCCCAAAGTCCCTAACTATCCCTTCCCCTGGCAACCATAAGTTCATTTTCTAAGTCTGTGAGTCTCTTTCTGTTTTGTAAGTAAGTTCATTTGTATCACTTAAGAAGGACCCACTCGTACTCGCTTCGGCAGCACATATACTAAAATTGGAATGATACAGAGAAGATTAGCATGGCCCCTGCGCAAGGATGACACGCAAATTCGTGAAGCATTCCATATTTTTTTTCAGAATGGGAGAAAATAATAGCAAATGAAGCAATGGACAAAGGATTAATCTCAAACATATATAAGCACCTCCTGCAGCTCAATTCCAGAAAAATAAAAGACCCAATCAAAAAGTGGGCCAAAGAACTAAACAGACATTTCTCCAAAGAAGACATACAGATGGCTAACACATGAAAAGATGTTCAACATCACTCATTATCAGAGAAATGCAAATCAAAACCACAATGAGGTACCATTTCACGCCAGTCAGAATGGCTGCTATCCAAAAGTCTACAAGCAATAAATGCTGGAGAGGGTGTGGAGAAAAGGGAACCCTCTTACACTGTTGGTGGGAATGCAAACTAGTACAGCCGCTATGGAGAACAGTGTGGAGATTCCTTAAAAAACTGGAAATAGAACTGCCATATGACCCAGCAACCCCACTGCTGGGCATACACACTGAGGAAACCAGAATTGAAAGAGACACATGTACCCCAATGTTCATCGCAGCACAGTTTATAATAGCCAGGACATGGAAGCAACCTAGATGTCCATCAGCAGACGAATGGATAAGAAAGCTGTGGTACATATACACAATGGAATATTATTCAGCCATTAAAAAGAATACATTTGAATCAGTTCTAATGAAGTGGATGAAACTGAAGCCTATTATACAGAGTGAAGTAAGCCAGAAAGAAAAACACCAATACAGTATACTAATGCATATATATGGAATTCAGAAAGATGGTAATGATAACCCTGTATGCGAGACAGCAAAAGAGACACAGATGTATAGAGCAGTCTTTTGGACTCTGTGGGAGTGGGCGAGGGTGGGATGATTTGGGAGAATTGCACTGAAACATGTAAATTATCATATGTGAAACGAATCGCCAGTCCAGGTTCGATGCATGATACAGGATGCTCAGGGCTGGTGCACTGGGATGACCCAGAGGGATGGGATGGGGAGGGAGTTGGGAGGGGGGTTCTGGATGGGGAACATATGTTCACCCATGGTGGATTCAAGTCAATGTATGGCAAAACCAATACAATGTTGTAAAGTAAAGTAAATAAATAATCTAAATAAAAAAAATAAAGGGGAAACAAACAAACAAAAGAAGGACCCACTCTTGATCCCTTGGAAAGTGGTCAGAGATCTCCAGACTCCTGGAAACATTCCAGGATAAGACTGGCAGGCTCTGAGACTCAGAGGTGGAGGGTGACTCCAAGTCCCAGGCCAACAGGGTTCCAGACACAGGTTCCAGTTGCAGGTGGATACAGGTGGGTTCTTTCCTCTCAAAGTGCTAATACCCATCAGCCACATCAGCATCATCCAGGAATCCTTAAAAATTCCTGGGTCTCGCTGATATACTGGGTCTGAGAAATACTAGAAATTCCTGGGTCTGAGATATACTATCAGAAACTCTGGGGTAGGGCACACAAATCTGACTTTTTTTTAATTTTATTTTTTAAATTTATTTCTTTAATTAATTTATTTTACTTTACAACACTGTATTGGTTTCACAAATCTGATTTTAAGTTCTCTTTCACGTTGAAAAACCACTGCTCTAACCCGCCAAAAATTCTGCAGCAGATGCTGAGGCTTAAAAATGGCCACTTTTAAAAACTTTTTCTTAAAAACAAAACAAAAAAACAGGACAGTTAATGAGAAATGGGTTTCTATGCCGAGTGGACAGAATAAAAAGGCACATATAATCTTGACCTTATATAGTGCCCAGGAAAAACAAAAAACGTATTGATTATCTCGTCCAAAAGCCTAACATTGGGAGTATTAAAATAGTTCTGGTAGAGGCCTGCTGGGGCTTCTCTCCTGGCTCAATGATAAAGAATCTGCCTGCCAATGCAAGACGTGCGGGAGCCTGGCGTTTGATCCCTGGGTTGGGACATGACTGAGCGACTGTGTGCATAGCACATAGCATAGCTTCTCTGGTGGCTTAGATGGTGAAGAATACGCCTGCAAAGCAGGAGACCTGGGTTCGCTCCCTAGGTCAGGAAGATCCCCTGGAGACGGCAATGGCTACCAACTCCAGTATTCTTGCCTGGAGAATCCCATGGACAGAGGAGGCTGTTGGGCTACAGTCCATGAGGTCGCAAACAGTCGGTGGCGACTGAACACAAAGCACATAGGATAGGCGTGTTATGCTCTGGGGCGCCTAAATTAAGTAAAACGTCATCATGCCGGTTGCAAATTCTTTGTTCCCTTTATCCTCCACTGAAATGCCCTCAGAAAAAAAAAAAAACGCTGGGATTCCTTCTGGCCCTCTGAAAAGTGTGTTTCTGATGCAACCGCCCATGAAACAAACGCAATCCCAAGTTAAAAACCTCCAAACCCGGGCAGCGGGGCCGGCGCCACCCTCCCTAGGCGAGCAGGCCGTTTCCAGCCGCACCCTGCGGGCGGCAAGACCTTCCTTCCCCGCGCTGTTCCCGAAGATAAATAAATCGCTCCTTGTTTTTTTTTCCAGACCTGAAATTAGCGGTGACTCAGAGCACTCAGGGATGCCACAGTCGCCTTGGGAAGGAGGAAAAATGCGCAGACTTTCCCCCTAGCCCGAGGGCCTGACGTGCCGAGGCTGGGCCAATCACGGGAGGTTGGCGGGAATCGCACCAAAGTAGGTAAAAAAATGCGGGACGCGCTCCCCGCGAGGCCGGCGCCGGGCTCCCGCAGGCCCTCCCTGTGGTCTGCTCAGCCGCGGGCCCCGCCCCTCTGCCTTCCTCGGCACCCCCCTCCAGGCCCCGCCCCCTCGGCCCTCCTCGGCCCCCCCCCAGGCCCCGCCCCTCGGCCCTCCTCGGCACCCCCTCCGGCCCCGCCCCTCGCCGCGGCGCACACCTGGCCAGGTGGCTACTTCCATGTAAGGAAAACGGCAGCACAGTGGGCGGGGCTTCACATGGCCCCGCCCCTCTCTCAAGCCCCGCCTCCTCGTCCGAGCTTGGGGAGGACCTCGTCCGCGCCCCTAATTGATGAGGGGTATTGGATCCACACCCGCGTCTCCGGAAGCTGAGGAGGACCCCGCCTGCCTGGAGTCAGAGGCTGGGGGGTGGAGGTGGGGGAGTGGGGAGGGTCCGCGGGGGCGGGGCGTTGCCAGGCCGGCCGGTTGCCTAGCAACGGTGGGCAGCTCGTGACGTGCGCAGCCGCGTCGGGCCCCCGGCGCCGGCCCACCCCCGGGAGGCTCGCCCGGGCTGCGGTGAAGAGGACGCTCCGTAGACTCGGCGCCAGCCGCCTCCCTCTCCGCGCTCTGCGACCGCTGCGGCGAACATGGTGAGCGGGGTCCTGGGGCGCCGCGAGGTCGGGGCGGCAAGGGAGGGAAGAAGGGGCCCCGGCTTCCGCCTCCGCGACCCCTGGGCCGCGCGCCGGGGCGACTAGCCGGCCGCCACGTTCTTGCTGTCGCCGCCGCCGCGAGGCCTCCCGCGCGGCCTCGGCAGTCCAGCTGGGGCCGACCTCCCGGCTCCCCGGCTTCGCCGCCAGGGCCCGCCTGCCCTCCCTCCAGTGGGGGCCTCGTCGGCGCTGGTTTGGCCGAGGCCAGGCGCTGGCGGTCAGCGACTCGGGCGGTTTCGGCCCGGGAGGTCTGTGCATCTAGGGGAAGGAATGAGGCCTTGATTGAGCCACCTGGGGCGGGGGAGGGGGGCGCGGGATAACCACCCGGCCTGACCCGGGCAATTCCGAACCCGGCCTGTGGCATTTGACTGCCGCCCCTGGCGGCCCGGTCCGCGTCCCGCCCGTCCTGCAGGGCGGTGGCCTGTCTGGCCTCCCCGTGTGGTCACAGATTTTCTTTTACCTGCAAACAGGTTGGCTCTGCCAGCCCTTGGCGTACAGCGGGGCGGCCCTGACGCTGGGATGCTAGTAAAAGTAAATGAAAAAGCTTTGTCAAGTCTATCAAGTTATCCGAGTTGCTTAAAAGTAAACAGGTGAATAAGTTCCGCTTATTCTAAGGTCTTATGTTGGACCTTTTGCTTGCTTAATGTACCTATTTTCCTCTCCAAAGTGGCATTCTAGTTTGCTGTAGAACCGTGGTATTAACTGGACAACCAAGTCATTTTCTTTACTCCGCGCACACTGTTACCATTTTTGGTCAATGATTTGCAGGCGAAGGCTTACCCGACTTTGCTAGAAATATTACACTGTTATTGCATCTGTCTGCCTGAAAGCAGCTGGGACCAGTTCATCTGCACACAAAATGTTTTCACTGAGTAACAGTTTGAGTTTTCTTAAGGTATTCTTTCATAGCTATGCCAACTGGTTCATCAGTGGAAGAAAAAAGATTAACCAGTAGTTTCTTGATGACTGAGAATACGGAATAGGAATTTGCGTTCGATTTTTGATTCTTCTTTGGTTTAATTCTGTGAGCCACAGAGAGGATCAGCATCTTACAACTTTTTAGCTGCTTTAATATTATACTACTTTATATGTTACTCTACATTAAAAGACTTCATCCAACGGCTTTGAGTTTTCATCAATTTAAGATCATCCACTCCAATGAGAGTGCTTTGAATCAGATTGGAGCCTGCTTTAGTGCCTTCTGATATGACATAACTTCATTTTCTGTTAGAAAAAAGAATCAAGCCTTTTTACTTTGTTAAATGCTTGAATTTTAAAGCTTACCTTCTTTATTTCTGTACATTCAAATAAAATGAACAGTCTGTTTTATTTATGGCATAGGAGGAGGAAAAATAAAAATTAGTTAAGATGGGTGGAGTCTGAATACATTTCAAACTTATGAAGAATTTATGAACTTCTCTTGTTTGAATGCTTTCAATGTGAGTTCAGAATGCAGATGACCATTTCTATTTTTTTAATTGATGTGTAGTTGATTTACAGTGTGTTAATTTCTGCTGCCCAGAAAAGTGCTTCAGTTGTACATATATATCTACATACACACGTATACATTCTCTTTTTAAATATTCTTTTCCATTGTGGTTTGTCACAGGATATTTGAATATGATTTCTTTTGCTCTACAGTAGGATCTAGTTGGTTATCCTTTCTGTATATAGTAGTTTCCATCTGCTAGTCCCAAACTCCCACTCCATCCCTCCCCTAACCTCCTCCCCCTTCACAACCATGAATTGAATTTGTTCTCTGTGTCTCTTCTGTAGATAGGTTCATCGTGTAAATGACTATTTTTAAAGGTTACTCTTCTGTTTAGCCTTATGAGCACAAGAGCATCCTCCCTTCAATCCAGCTGTTAAAGAATATAGTGAAGATTGAAAAGATTGAAAGTTATTCCAGACTATAGCACTTTACCTCTGTGTTTGAAACTATTTAGATCTGTTGGTTAGATGCTTGCTTCCAAGTTTCTTAGCCTTTTTTTTTTTAAGATTAAATATTAACTGCTGATGAGTTTATTCTACATTAACAAAATCACTTCCTGGTACTCACTCACTTCTAGAAGCACTTGAGAATAAAGTAATTTGACACCAACTCCAGAAATCACCCTGGGCAGTTTAAAATGAGTTTAAAATTCATGTTTGGAAAGTCTCACTTTACAGTGCCAAAAAAAAAAAAAAAAGAAAAAAACCCAAAAAACACCCCATAAGCGTGCCCTTCACAGGAACCATATACACACTCCAAACAAACCTTGGGTGTGCCAGTTGCCTCATACGAAGATTATTACCAGCCTACCGTCAAATTCCTAGGGTTATCTGCTGAGTAGTTCTTCCTCTTGAGTATGGATTGACACATCACAGGAGACCGGCCTAGCTACTCTTGTGATGGTGTAAATGCATTTGCAGCATAGCTGTGTGGCTCTTTGGGGAGTCAGTGTAGTCTTGTCTCCGAAACAGTAAAGGTCTGCGTGATGATCTAACCCTTCAGTTCAGTTCAGTTGCTCAGTCGTGTCTGACTCTTTGGGACCCCATGGACTGCAGCACGCCAGGCCTCCCTGTCCATCACCAACTCCCAGAATTTACTCAAACTTATGTCCATTGAGTCGGTGATGCCATTCAATCATCTCGTCCTCTGTGTCATCCCCTTTTCCTCCTGTCGTCCCCTTTTCCTCCCACCTTCAGTCTTTCCCAGCATCAGGGTCTTTTCAAATGAGTCAGCTCTTCGCATCAGGTGGTCAGAGTATTGGAGTTTCAGCTTCAGCATCAGTCCTTCCAATGAATATTCAGGACTGATTTCCTTTAGGATGGACTGGTTGGATCTCCTTACAGTCCAAGGGACTCTCAAGAGTCCTCCAAAAGCAGAGTTCAAAAGTATCAATTCTTCCTTAACCTCACTCTGGTCAGAACTTGGCTCTAATAAACTGAGCTGTTGGCTCAGAGTAATTATAAGTGTATCCTACCACCTGATGATAAGCAAAAACGTTTTTACTTAAAACCTTCCAGTAGAAAAGGCTGGTCATGTATTATTCCTGTACCCATTTAACATATTTGAAAACAGTCTGTAAAGGATTAATGACTCGGGGCCTTTTCTGACTATCTGGTTTTAAAATAATTTAAAAATTAATTTTGAAACATTTTAAGCAGGAAGGTACACAGAATAACAGGTTCCTTTGTACAAAAAAAAAAAGAGAAGATTAACTTTTTGCCATATTTCAGGTTTTTACGTTAGGTAAATTATGCGTCTTCTTCATCCCATTTCCTTCCCTCCCTAGAGGTAATGTCTCCTTGTCAAAGAAGTAATACACTTACTGGCCAATTAAGGAGATGATTTTTGCAGGCTATTGGAATTGAGAGAACATTAATTAAAATGAGGAACATCTGCAAAAAAAGAAACCTGGGGCTGGTTAACTGAGGAGTCTTGAGAAAGCCTGGGGATGGGTCTTAATCTGGGGGTGAGCAAGGGCAGGGTCATTTTGTTACCCTGAACACAAAATGACGGGAGTAGATTTCTTAATCATCTCTGCTTTGCAGGAGCACAGGGCTCAGGTACAGTTCAACATAGTCACCTGCAACTGATTCATTTGATTCTCATTGATGTTCTACACTTTGAGCTGTACATGTGTGTATATGTAATATGTTTCCTTGATATATTTTTAGTTTTTATATAAGTGTTACCATGCTTCACGCATCCTTTTGCAACTTTGAGAAAAAGAGCTTTGTGAAATTTAGTTTTAGTTTGCATCCCATCAGCCAGTTTCTCTATTTCTTTTCACTACTTGGCATTATGTGACTTTGAAAACCAATCCAGTAGGTGTGAAATGGGTTCTCATTCTTTTGTGTTTCTCTCATTAGCAATAGTTGAGTATCTTTTCATTTTTTACAAGCATGCGTTCTTAGTGAGCCTGACATTGTTTAAATACTCGTCATGTCTTCATCTCAGCTCAAGTGTGGATCCGTAAAGTAAATCCAACCTTAAAATTCATGGGAGATTGTCAGAACCAGACCTGCGTTCTTAATGAGCCTGACATTGTTTAAATACTCGTCATGTCTTCATTTCAGCTCAAGTGTGGATCCGTAAAGTAAATCCAACCTTAAAATTCATGGGAGATTGTCAGAACCAGACCTGCGTAATGAAGACTGATGTCCCTCACCTCTGGCACCTGCTTTTCTTTAAGCTCAATATTCTTAATTCTAGCCAGCTGCCCTATGAGGCTCTGATAGTGGTGGAGTGATCTAGAAGAGTTCCATGTTTGACTGGATGTGGAGATTAACATCCTTGCTTTATCCGTATCCTTTTCTTTCTTTTTTCCTAGGCGGTATATTTAGCCAAGATATTTAAAAAAGAAAACAAACACGGGGATAGATGGAAAATCTGTACTTTCTGCTCAGTTTTGCTGTGAACCTAGAATGTCTCTCAAAAATAGTCTATTAAAAATAAGTAAAACAAAAAAACCATTATCGTTTTTCACAAATAGAACTAGTTTAAGTCAAAATGATGTTTTTAGTATATAGGAAGACTAAACATTTGTTTATGACAGTGTAGCTGTTTTCTTTCAGTAATAATTGAGCTGAACTCAATTTGAAATCTGAAAAAAAATTGAAACTCTTTAAAAACTGTTGTTTTAAAATGTACATTGTTTTTATCTACAGAGTAAGGCTCTCATCTGAATAGCTAGGTCTAGTCTCAGTTGGACTCTTTGGTATTTGCATACCTAAATAATGCTTATCATTTTAGTATCTTGAGCTTCCTACCCACATAGCTTAATATTCCTCTCCAGGTTGTCCATGAGAGACATACCCAAAGATTTGTATTATACATCGCACTCAGAAATGTTTTAATCCATTTTTCTTCTGTCCTTGCCTGCTTGCCTCATTGTTACAAGTGAGTTTTCACTTGGAATTGTCCTTCTAAAAGCTGTCCCCTATTCGTTTTGCTTGAAATTTTACGTTGGGAGAAGCATAGAAGAATAGACGTCAGATTGGTCCATCTCAGTAATGCTTTGACAAACTTGTTGCTTAATTCATCATGGAATCTTCTGTACAAGGACCCCGTAGAGTTGAGAATGTAGTCTGGAGTGATCCTTAACTCTTTAAGATTGCCTTCTGGTAGCTGACATTGTAATGCTTATGTGTTCTTTACCCTATTTCATGATGTGTGTGCTGTGTTAAAACTGAAGAATCTTTTTTTGGTAGATCTTTAAAAAGTAGCTGATTTCAGTAAAAATGCAATCAAAATTCTTAAAATTCATATTTTTAATTTGTAGTGTGAAATAATGAGACTTTGGCTTTATTTATTTTTGACTTGACAAGGGACCATCAAAGAACTGTTACACTGTTACAACAAGGTTTAGGATGAGCGCTTGAAAGGTAGAAACTTCAGTGCCTACTATAGCAGGAAACCTAATTTAAAACTAATTTATCTTTGTATTTGTGCTTTTAGATCATGTTAAGGGAAGACTGTTTACTCCTTTCAACATTTTTGCGTTACTTTATAGGTTGTTGCTTCTCTTTGTCTTATCACAGAAAAGAAAGATGAATTTTCTATCCATATTCCTATCTTGATCTGCTTTCAGGAGATTGCCAACTTGTAAATGTAATTAGTGTTTATTTTTAAATTGTTTCATGTAGCCCATTTTTTCTCATAGTTTTTTTTTTTTTATTTTTTTGGTAGTAATAGAGCTGAAAGTAAAGCATGGGCAAATATGGGTAAAACTTCTCTAGGTTGCTAGGGAGCAGTCTTATAAGTCAGTTGTCGAAGCTCTGAGGAATTCTCAAATCACTGTGTTAGACCAGTGGTTGTCGAATAGAAATAAAACGTGAATTACTTATGTATTTAAATTTTCCAGTAGCCCCATTAGAAAAGTAAAAAGGAAAGATGAAATATATTTA